CGCTCTTTATGAGCATTAACTTTTATTTTTAAATCTCTCTCTCTCTCCCTCTCTATCTCTTTTTCTTAGAGAGGGGCCCTCGCCTTGAGAATGGGGCTCAGCTCTGTCTAGGGGAAACCGATCCATACCAAAACAACACTTGACCCAGGAGCACCAGTAGCAAAATAATGGAAGACACTTCTATCGTGATGCCCCTTCTATCGAATCTCTATTTGTTTGACTTATCTATTGAAGTCTCTATTACAGTAAACTCTCTGTTTTAAGGACTTTCCTAGTCAAAATCCCTACATTTGATGCACTTTTCTAGTCAAAATCTCTACGTTTGATGCCTTTCCCCTTAGAATGTCTACTTTTGATAACCTTTCTCCGGAATCATGTTTGATGAATTGTCTATTGAATTCTCTTTACTATATAATCAAAATCTGTCATTTTGACCCATTACAATCTCTACTTTTGATAAAATTTCTGGTAAAATTGCTATTTTTTATGACATATATATATATATATGTATACACACTATATATATATATATATGTATATTGAAATCGCTCTTTTGATGAGTTTTCTATTGCATCTTTTGCTTTTGATGACTCTTCTAGACAAAATCTCTACTTGTAATGCCTTTCCCATTGAATTGAGAACCACACAGACCACAAAAAAATAAAATCACAATAAAAGATCATCCTTATTAAAGTCCTGACCCATTGACTGGCTTCATCCATGTTTCTGGAGTATCTGGAGTCCAACCAAGGATTGCTCGCTGAATGTCACCTACCACTCTTGACGAAGTTTCGACATTTTCAGCTTGCTCTCTAGAAGCACCGGCAGCTCTCAACAGATTCGGAATGTCAGGACACATGCAGATTTCTGTTTCAGAGGAATCCACAGAGTCATGGCTGAGTCAGAGACAGTACTGTACTTGCAACTCCACCGCTTGTGTCGCACATTTTTGTGCAATGCACACGCTTGAAACCCAAGGAAGCCTATCCGCCCGAAGCTGTACAAGTACGCAACACGTTCATTCATGTAGCCAGCCCCAGTGCACCAGAAGATGCAAACCGCCCCGCGGTTGTCTCTTGTCCAGCAAGCCACATTGGTTGCATGCTCGAAAGCCTCTTTGAGGAGGACACATCGACAGAGACGTCACATCTTGACACTTTTTTTGGCTAAGTAACTAGAGACTAGGTAGCTACTAGGCTAAGTTAGCTTCTAGTAGGACACAGGAAAGCGCTCGCACGAATGATTTGGTTGTCAGATTTTAGGGAAACTTATCTAGACTTTTCTAGCCCATGGCCCTCCCTCCCTGCTTGATTAAGTAGGCGCCTACTTAATCAAGTCGGGGAGTAAACTCAGGGCGACTAGTTAGCTTCTAGTAGCTGGACGCTGGAAAGCTCATGCTTCTTCAAGGAAGCCTTCTCGGTGCATTTCCTCGGTGGGTTTCCTGAAGCGCTCGCACTATTCATGTGGTTCCTAGGTTGTGTAGGAATGGGCATTGCGAAACAGGACTTTTCTAGTTTGGAAAGAATCCTCCACTTGTTGCTAGGAGGACGAAGAGCCACCGCGTTCAAAGCCAGTGATATGTTTGGAGGATGCTTTGTTTGATGCTGCACCTGGCACGCCGGAGCCATACACAAGCCTTGCACCTCTCTCGACTTTGCCAGTGGACTACTCGGAGACAAAACCATGGCAGCTTCCCTTGGGCCCTTTGGCAGGGCAGTCGTATTCACAAATCACACACACTGTGGGGGCATCTTTGGGGCCGATAGGCCAGACCGTGGGGCCATCTCTCACCCCCACATCAACAGGACCGTCGGTGGGTACCATTGGACCATCTGCGCCGCTACACTCACACCCAGTCACCTCGCCTGCTCAAAGCTTCAGCAAAGCCCAAGTGCAAAACCTGAGCCCTTCAGGGCCAATAGGGCCACACCCAGCAGGCGCAGGCCTAGGCCCAGCAGCCCCAGCAGGCTTAGGCCCTGGCCTAGGCCCTGTCGGAGCACCAGTGGCACGCGCCCATGTTGGGGTTCCGGTGAGCGACGTGCCCATGGTCCCACCATCAGTGCCGGCGCCCTTTGAACCTGCACCAGGCTCAATGGAATTGCCAAGCATTGGCTCGAAGGGTCACTATGTGGGTGACTGCAGACCATGCGCTTTCTTGCACGCCAAAGGTTGCAACAATGGTGCAATGTGCCAATTTTGCCACCTTTGTGATCGCGGCGAGAAGAAGAGGCGCCAGAAAGCCAAGAAGGCATCCTTTAGAGGAGGTGCGTGATGGTGTGAGACGTAGAGTTCAATGTGCATGTAGTGCAAGAATGCATGTAGTAGTCAGGTGGCCGCTGCCTTACACATCAGGCATGCCAGAATTTGGGACCCAACAGCCAAGGAGTTTGTTCGGTCGCTCGAATTCGGCAAGTGAGAATACTATGTGGGTGGCTGGTCATGTGCTGTAGCGTGATCAGTGCTAGCTGCGCCCACACGGCTATAACAAGCTATTAACAGTGGAGGATGGGTCTCAATGAAGACTCAGGCCCCTAGTTTTTCAGCTCAGTTCGATTAAGACCTCGCTAGTTGCACTTTGCGACGCTCAAGGTGTCTGATGCTTGGAGCAAAGGACTTGGTCAGAACAGCATGTTGACAACGAGACGCTGAGGATATTCCCTTGAAAGACCTCAAGAAGAGCTGGATTGGATCACAAACACAAACACAATTCTTGTCTCGATGGATCTCCGAGGCTGAAACTGCAGCGAAGCGAATCCGGCAGGCTGTCAAGAATGGGACGCAATTGCAGCTCGGAGTTTATTTATGTGTATGTTTACTGTAATATATATATATATATACATACATAGACATATATAGAGGTTAAGTTTCGCTAAAGAATCTCGGAAGCAAATGATCAGTGCGAGCGCTTCTTCAAGGAAGCTCCCTCCGCCCTCAGGCGGGGGGAGCTTCCTTGCGGAAGGGTGAGCTGTCCTGCGTCCAGTAGGCAGTAGCTTCCTATTGCTTGTAGCTTACCTCCTTACTTAAATTAAGTAGGTGCCTACTGAATTATATAGGTAGGAGGGCGGGCCACTGGCTCTAAAAGATTTGTCTTGTGTCTCAAGCTTTTGAGTTTGAAGTGCTTCGAGCAGTTTTACTAGGAAATCCCTGTTTTGATGTGCTTGTTCGCTAAATATGCCGGTTATCAGGTGCTGCTTCCGGGGGTGGTGCCTACCACACCGCAGGGTTTTAGTAGAACGTGATCAGACATTTTTTCACGTTTGCCGTAGCCGAATCACAGCGGCTATATATAGTTGCCAGTACCATAGTACCACCCGACTCTTTCATCTATGCACTGCAGTTGAGGGAGAGAGTCGCGCATCAACCTGTCTCCACAGAGTTGGAGAACCTCGAAAGAAGCCAGACTAAGACCCCAACATCAGATAATGCTTCTGATCCCACCAATACGTACCAATGTGACTTTCATCATTGGCGTTAACAACACCCAAATCATCCTACCACTCGCCAACTATCTCTCCAATTCGTAGTGGCTAGTTGCACGAAGCGAAGGTGTCAAGCTCATTTTTCCATACTTCAGTCAAGTTATGCTCAACCACACTCTTTCACTGATGGAATGCCGGGCGGATTGCAAGAGCATGACCAAACATGACTCTTACCTTTGCCACTTAGATAAGAGTTGTCCTGGACAAGCTGACCTTGACCTAGGCCCACCACCATTAAGACCACATCAACAACACTTGCGTCTTTGCGCACACCTCCTCAAGATTGTCGCGCATGTCTGAAGGTTGGGATGTGAGGCACTGTGAGCATTTACTCAAGTAAAATGGGGCTGGGACTTAAATCTAATAAGGCACAGTTTCAGCCGACAAACGAGAACACCCACACTCACCACAGAGCAGCAACGAGAATCCAGGGAAACAACAACAGCAACAACAACAACAACAACAAACCAGACTAATGTCCTCACACACACAAGATGGGTTGAGACAAATCACAGGTCCATTCTGGACAGAGGGAGATGGATCTCAACCAGAACCCTCAGACCTACCTGATAAACGAGATCCAGTTTTGGCATAGACGAGAGAGTGAGAATAGCACAGCAAGAAGAGGGGCTTTATGGTGGACATTTGCAACTTGCATCAACGTGCTTTTCTCTATGTGGAGGAGAATAAGAGCAGTAGCCATTCACTCAAGCCAGGAAGGGAAAGGGAAGCCCAAGCAATCATGTGCATGTGCTAAATGCCCTGATGCAAAATCTAGGTGGACCACCAAAATGCTCTTGAGCAACAACAGGATCAATGTGACCCACATGCTTCGCATGCCAGTTCTGTAGATGTCACAAGTACACTAGAATGTCTGAAGTTCTTCATTTTCAGCTGGCGTCACTAGCATTATGTGCTCTTCTCCCACCCTTTTACAGATTATGTCGCAAGTGTTGCAAATGAACACATATCTATTCAATAGGATCTGTCCGACCTCAATGTCGGACTTGAACCCGCCCTCATTTCGCAACTATTGCACTTTGAACCCCAAATCCTTGAGACGAAGCCGAGGCCGGGCAGATAATCCGTGCGGCTTGGGCGTTTGTAAAGGAACATGGAGGCTCTGTACTGAGAAGAGTCTTTTGTTCCTCTTCAGCGCTTGACATGCATCTGAGTTGAGGTTTGAGGAGCCTCTTGGGAGCGAGGGGGTTTGGGAGCTCGATGTGAGTGTTTCACCTGCCGAATGAAAACGATTGAATACACCAGACTTGTGTCTTTATCTCTAAGTTTGTTGTTTTGGCAGGCTCATTTGGCAACATTTGTGTCACCTCTGGAGATTGTGCATTAACTGTGCTCAGCACAAGCGTTGAGACGAACAAGCGTCCTGCGCTCCGAGAAAGGATGCGGGGGCAGGGAACACCATGGCACTTTGTTTCCATTCAGATAAATCAATCAAGAATACAAAGGAAGATGAGTTGCTGAAGAGTTGTTGGAGTGTGAAAAGTTGGCACATGGACACTTGCTCAAGCACCACAGACGGCTGTGTAGCTACCAGAGCTCCAACGGCCATGTCTTTGTCTTCTGGACAAGTGCTGGCTACACGCAGCGCTAAGCAGTTTGCAGGCTTGGCCATCACAGTTCCTGAGGAAGAACCCGTGACTTGTCCGAATTACCAAACGCCTCAGGGTCAAAGATGGGGAGAGCATTGGAATTGAAAGGCCACGTTTCTGGTCCAAAAATGGAAGTTTCAGAACATGCTGTGCGTGTTGAGTGGCTTTGAAAATCGCTCTGCCCGTTTCAAGGACTTGAATCTCTACCCGCCGGAGGCTGTTCAAGTTCGCAATACCTTCATTCATGTGGCAAGTCCACTTTCCGAGGATGTCTTGAGCTCGCGGCCAGCAGTTTCATGTCCAGCTTCGCAGATTGGGGTACTTCAAAAGGCATTTCACGATATTCAAGAAATTCAAAACTATCAGAAGGACTTTCAAAAAGAAATCCAGGAAGACCCTGTGCAGTCAAAGCGAGAGCTTCCATCAAAGCCAGTGATTTGTCTTGAAGATGCCCTCTTTGATCCCAGAGCTCTTGCAGACCATGCTCAGAATGTCGACCGATGGTCGTATGTGGATCAGCCTTATGTGGAACCGCCATATGTGGATCAGCCACCTTATGTGGTGGAGCAGCCACCCTATGTGGAGCAGCCACCCTATGTGGAGCAGCCACCCTATGTGGAGCAGCCACCTTATGTGGAGCAGCCACCATATGTGGACCAGCCTTGTTATGGCGGGGCGCCTTGCGAGCCTGCGGTTCCGACTGTTCCAGCTCCATTTGAGCCAGCACCAGGATCAGCAGAGCTTCCGAGCATAGGCTCGAGGGGACACTACAGCGGTGATTGCAAGCCATGCTCTTTCCTGTATGCCAAGGGATGCAACAACGGTGCAATGTGCTTGTTCTGCCACTTGTGCGATCGAAGTGAAAAGAAAAGGCGACAGAAGGCCAAAAGGGCTGCTCTCAAAGGCGGAGCTTGAGAAAAGCGAAAAGGAACAGACATGGCAGTTCAAGGCAAGAGTTCTTGAGAGTGTCATTGAGAGTCCTTGTGACTTGTGCCCAAAAATGAAGTTGCACGTGATTCCTGGCTGAGAGGTTGTATTGTACGAAGTCACTAGACCTCGTGGCAAGGGAAGTGGTCACCAAACAGTGTATGCATGCGCTCGGTTCTTAGATCGACTCCAGCTTTGAGCTTGCCATCGCCCATCGCTGGCAAGACCATCACGGAATTCATTCATAAGATCTTTTGCTGCCGCACACAATGTACATCAGCTTTGTGGACTTAAGATATTTTCATTGCCGACCAAGTCACAGAGCTGCTGAGTTGAAAGCAGATGTCTCAGGGAAGCTTGCACCAATGCCCTGCACCTGTACAGGCCTCACCCTGGGCAAGTATTTTGTGAGGTACTCGCTGCTAATTCTCAGCTGCACCTGTGCACATACCTGGCCTTAAGTGTCAGAGCTTTTCGACTTCACTCCAATGCTGAGAGACAAATGAGAGCAAGTTCATTCATTTTCAAGGCGTTGTGTGGCAAAAACTAGGGGGACCCAGGAACCACAGGTTTTGACAACCTTGTCTTCTACTTCTACTTGTGGGATTACCTTGTCTTCCACCTGCTTTCATTGCATTGCTGAACAGCCTCAGAGAGTTTATCCTGGGCTCGCCGCTTGTTGCGTCGAGTGTCCAACACACACACACAGGACGCGGAGAGTGTGAAGGAAGTGTGTGGCTTTCTGACTCTTTCGTTGTCATACAACGGAATGTGCATTGCATTTTGTTATTGTTGTTATTATTGTTTATCGTTTTTCAATGGGCAACATGTGCATGGATTGTTCACAGAAGTATGCTCGAACAATATAGTCAGAGTTTGAAGGCGCAGCCGCAGCCCCTTATCTTGAGACAGGTCGGATCCTGCCCAATTTTTTTATCCTTCAGAGAGACATTCACGAGCAGGACGCCCCTTGAGCACCCAACTTGCCCTTCTGATCCATCAGCGATCAGCTTGTCCGAATCCAAAGGCCCATAGCTTCGAACATTGTTTTGGAGTCAGGCTTGGAAACCAGAGGTAGTCATTACTCCACAAGGTTTAGACCTTTCGAGGAAGATGCCAGGAACTGGCCTGTAGTTGGGAGGGAGCTAAGGATTTGGCGTACCAATATCCCACAACCAAAGGGGAGTCAAAAACTGCAGCGCCTGTAAGGGGCTGTGTGTTGGAGTGTTTTGTTGAAGCAGTGTTTTGATTTGGGATCGGCTGATTTTCCCACGTTGTGATTTATTTTTGATTTAGGTGTTTCGTGACAGTTTTGAACACTTTTGGTGGATATGATATAGAGTGTTTTTCCGCTCACAAAGTTTCAGAGGAATTCGCGTCTCATGTTGGGTGTGCATCAGGTACCCCGGAGTGGACTGCTCATTGTCAATGAGAAACATTTAGAACTTCAAAGTACCATGTGAAACCACAGGCTTTCCAATCTGAAATAGTGACTCTTCTTCCTTCCTGGACCCCGAAGCTCAGAACCTAGCCCTGGCGTTCCGTTTGAACGGATTCTTCTTACCGCAAGCACATAGCACTGGCATAGCGCATGAAACGATTGTTCTCAATACAAGCATAGCACAGGCGTAGCGCGTGAAAGGATTCTTACGCAAGATCAGGGCTGGTATAGCGCATGAAACAACTATTCTTAACACAAGCATAGCACTGCCCTGCCGTAGCGGTAGCGTGTGAAACGATTGGTATTACCCCCGCACCCCCTCTCCCCGACCCGAACCCACCCAACTTGCACCACCACACGAGCTGCAAGCAAAATTACCAGGAAAGCAAAAACCTCACAACGCATGGCCCCTTAGGGCGCTGCTACCAAAAACTGAGAAGGTCTGAACGCGTTTGAACTCTCTGCCACAAACAGCTGCAAGCAAGTTCACGACTGTCTTGCACCCCCGAACACTTAGATCTGCTTGCAGGCCTAACAACATTTGTACGGAATCCTGCCAGCTAAGCCAGCAAACCCGAGGCGGAATCCCCTTGGTGCAGGGGTCAGACGAGTTCAAACAAGTATATAACTTGCTTTTGCTTTTGACTTTGAGGCTGAAGGGGTTGTATTGCAGGAAACATGAGAAAGAGACAGAGGTAGACACGTGTTCGGAGCGGGAAGGACCATGGCGCCCAATTCGGTCCGCTACGAGGGCGAGGCCTAAGCCAAACTGGATTGCAGACTTTATTGTTGCTTTATGGCCGGCCACTTCTTCCGACAACCTTTGATTCGGAGTGTGCCAGCAAGGCAGACTTCTATGCAAGGACTTTTTGTTCAATGCATTTATATACATTTTTATACAAAGAAGGTGCCTTTAGCATGATATATATATATTTACCAGGCTACCGCCTGCAGCCGCCGACCCCCAAGGGATAGAACCTTAGCGCTAGCCTTGCTCTATGTTAGCCTTAGCCTTAAGCCTTAGCCTTAAGAGTGCAGACCCAACCCAGCACCACCAAAGCAGGTACCCAAAAAGTCGACTTTTTGGGTACCTCCCAGATTTACCATCGGACGTCAGCTCTTGCATGAACCCCGATCATTGCCCAAGAATTTAGACCCAACCCTTCACCACCAAAGCAGGCACCCAAAAAGTCGACTTTTTGGGTACCTCCCAGGTTTACCAATTTAGACCCAACCCAGCACCACCAAAGCAGGTACCCAAAAAGACAAAGCCTAGAGCACTCCTAGGAAAATGCCAGAAAAGCCTTTGAAAATCTCATAAGCCAACAGAAAGCGTGACAAAATCTACGAAAAAGCAAGGGCATTGGCCGGGACCATGCCGCGACCAGCCCGGGATTCGAGCCCAGGACCATTTTGGACCGTGCTTATTTTCCCGCGCGGGTCGAGAGGGTGCCCCAAGATGTAAATCAATTGGGGTGGCAGATTCTTGGACAATCCGGGTCGCTTTCCTGGCAGGATTTCGTCACTGCAACAAGGGTCCGGAGGGGTAGGGGAGGTAAGGTCTAGGTCTAGGTCTAAGGCTAAGGACTAGGTCTAAGGTCTAAGGCTAAGGCTAAGGCTAAGGCTTAAGGCTAAGGCTAACATCGACAGTCACGCCTCACCCCACGGTGTGGGGTCGGCGGATATATTTAAGGGCTTACGCCCGACAGCCGGCCAGGGGCCCAAGCAAAGGGGAGTGTTGTTGTTGTGGTTGTTGTTGTCGTTGTGGTTGTGGTGGTGGTTGTGGTTGTTGTTGTGGTTGGGGCGGTTGTTGTTGTGGTTGTTGTTGTTGTTGTTGTTGTTGTGGTGGCTTTGTCGGCCCAGCTGGGGTCGATGTTGGTGGATCTTTGCCATCCCATCTCGTCGCCATGTTGGCCCATCTTGGGGGCGGTGGGGCTTAGCCCAAGCGGGTCCGACTCAAAACGGCCGGAGGCACGTAGGCGGTAGACAAGTGGGGTCGGAGTTGCTAGCAAGCCGTCTGCAACAGGGCAAAAGACCAAACGCCTAATAGCATGAAGATAGACAGTACGTCATATCAATGGGATGCAACGTGGTCGTGATAGGGACGGACCACCCGGAGCTTCGCTCATGGGTCCGTTGGGGCTTAGTCCAAGCGGGTCCAACGCCAAACGGCCGAAGGTAAGTAGGCGGTAGACAAATGTGGTCGGTAGGAGGAGCGATGAAGCGTCAAGTACGCATAGAAGACAGAACGCAAAGGAGGAAGCAGAGGCGCGTCGTCTGCAAAGTGACCACATTTCCTAAACGCGGAGTGCGTCAGAGAGCCGTGTCTGACCGGTTGAGGGCACCTGTCAGGGATTGTCAGGGAGCTTTCGTTCGGACACGTTGGTGTAGAGGGTTTTAACGTAAACTTGTCAAAAAGCCTTTGTCTCACACGGTGGGAGCCACGGGCGTGCACCGAAAGTGGACCAGGTGAATGCACGTGTCAGGGAGCTTTCGATCGGTAAACTTCATGGCAACCAGCAGCCCGCAACGGGTGGGCGCAAGTGTTTGGTCCTGGCCGCAGAGGACACCCAGGGGCGGGATATCCCACCAAAGCACCAACTACATTTCAACTAGGTTGGAGCCAGTGGCGAGTCCAGTGTCGTTTTGCGTCGTCAGTGCAACTCTCTGAAGAAAAGAGGCCCCATGCCATACATCTGCCATCGCAGAGTGTTGGCCTTGCCTGCAACACCTCCTCTCCAGTGTCTCGATACCATCCTTGCAACACGCGTGTTTTGTGACACATCCGGTCCCCTGTGCAGCGCAGTCGTTTCGAAACTCCTCTAGATTCCGCACATGTCACAGCAGCTCGACAGAGAAAAAAATAGAAGCATAGGTAAGCTTGCTCGCCTCCGACGGGTCTTGAGTGACGAGGGCATTTTCGACACGCGTGTCGTATTTTGTGCGGTGAGCTTGCTCGCCTTGAGAGAGTCAACGCCCATGTACCAGCACATGACTGACGTCGAAACGGAGACTTGTTCAAAGAGAGGTGAGCTAGGTCGCCTCAGAAGGGTCACGAGTGACGCGGCCATTGTTTGCCTGCTTGGCGTATTTTTCACGCCCCTAATATACTCGACTGCGTGGGCGTGAAGATCCGCGGCTGAGAGCGCAAGGCCAGGAACAAACGTCGAACCGGCGGGACGCTTCTGGCAGGTTGTCTAACATAGGGAAAGTCTTTTTTTGTTCCCTCCGTCGGCGTGTACTAGGAAGTCCGGCACTCCCAAGCACGAGTGTTCCACGCACAGACAACACGTGTGCAAAGAAACCTGTGGGTCCGTCGTCCGGCCCAGACGCAGTGTGTCCGCAGTGCAAGCCGAACAAGTTGTGCCCTCAGTGCAAGACGCCCATGCCTGTCAGAGCAAAACTCGACTCGTGGTGCCAAGCTTGTGCCTATCCGCCATGCGCCAGCGGCTGCGGCGCGCCGCGCCCACGTACCCATCCGGTGGAATACCACGCCAAAACATTACCCACATGGACTTGCCCAGCCTGCGTCGCCGCAGCGCAGCAGATGGCCCCCCCAAAAAAAGATCCAGAACGGCAAAGCCCGTGTCCTGCACCGACACTTCCACACAGGAGCCAGACTTGCCACCTCTACCACCACCAGCCAGTCCACCACCGGACACACCTGCTGCAAATCCACACCTGGCTCCAACCAACCGCCGACAGAAAAAAGCCCGGACGAAAGATTAAGCAACCCGATCAGTCGACTCATCGCACACTTCCAGCAAACCTTACCATCCAGCCTAGCCCCTCTCAACTAGAACCGATAGTGCAGGCCTCCCGGCCAAAGCGCCACACCTGTAAGTGCCAGACCTTCAAATGAGCCCGTGTAAACAGAAGCTAACCTCCGATTGTGCGCCAGGCTCGGGTCCGCCAGGGCTTCGCCCCCGCGCCGTCACGGGGTCCGGAGCTTAGCTCATGGGCCCACCCATGCCGACACGATACGGATGCCTGCCCCCTCTCAACTAGAACCGATACTGCAAGCTTGCCGGCCAAAGCGCCTGACTTGTAAGTGCCAAACCTTCATATAAGGCTCGGGTCCGCCAGAGCTTCGCCCCGGCGCCGTCACGGGGGCCGGAGCTGAGCGAATTGGCGCACCCATGCCAACGCGATACGGATTCCTACCCCCTCTCAACTAGAACCGATACTGCAAGCTTGCCGGCCAAAGCGCCTGACTTGTAAGTGCCAAACCTTCATGTAAGCCCACTCAAACATAAGCTAATCCCCGATTATGCGCCAGGCTCGGGTCCGCCAGGGCTTAGCCCAGGCTCCTGCACGGGGTCCGGAGCTTAGCTCACGGGCGTGCCCACGCCAATAGGATACGGAGGCCTACCTCCTCATAACTAGAACCGATACTGCAAGCTTGCCTGCCAAAGCGCCTAACTTCTAAGTGCCAAGCCTTCATATAAGCCCACTCAAAAATAAGCTAATCCCCGATTATGCGCCAGGCTCGGGTCCGCCAGGGCTTCGCCCAGGCACCTTCACGGAGTCCGGAGCCTAGCTCATGGGCGCGCCCACGCTAAACTGAGACAGAGGCCTAGCCGATATCGCGCAAGCCTGCCTGCCGAAGCACCCGACCTGTCAGCGCCATGCCTTCACATCCGCCCACGTAAACACAAGCGAACCCTCGATTCTGGACCAGTTGACTGCGCCTGTCAGGAAGGTTTCGATCAGGCATGTCTAGACTTTGCCGTGTGTTTCGAACCAGTCAGAGAGCCCTGTCCCAACCAGTGGGGATTTTGAACGTAACTGACAGCACATATGGTCCATGGCAGTCTGTCGTTGCTGCAGGCGGATCAGTGGGCGGAAAGCGCTTCAGAGCACCCACTCATATTTTAATGTCGCAGAGTCTCGTCGTACAGCAGGTTCTCTTTCATTGTCAGACTCTAAGCTGCAATGATGTAAGCCCTGGCCACGGGACTGGATGGAACAGTGGATTCTGATCGACCTATAGTGTTCTGTCAAACGCTCTATCCACACTCACACCTCCACCTGTCAGTCAAGAGTCAACACCCATGGACCAGCACATGCCTGAGTTCGAAAAAGAATAAGAGATTCCAACAAAGGTGAGCTTGCTCGCCTCCGCCGGGTCATGCGTGAGGAGGTCAGTGTCTACATGCGTGTCGTATTTTGTATGGTGAGCTTGCTCGCCTGGAAAGAGTCCACGCCCATGTACCAGCACATGACTGACTGAGTTCGAAAAACAGTTCTGTTCAGAGAAAGGTGAGCTAGCAGACGGTCCGTACAGAAACACAACGCACAGCAGTCGAACTCTTTCGTAGCTAAACCCCCTCCACCAACGGAGCATGGCGCAAGGTTTCTCATTGCCTGCCAGGCCACGCGTCGACGACGAGCACATCTCCAAGCTGCAACGATGTAAGTCCTGGCCAAGGGACTGGATGGAACAGTGGATTCTGATCGACCTATGGTGTTCTGTCAAACGCTCTATCCAAACTCACACCTCTACCTGTCAGTCAAGAGTCAACACCCATGGACCAGCGCATGCCTGAGTTCGAAACAGAAAAAGAAGTCCCAACAAAGGTGAGCTTGCTCGCCTCCGACGGGTCCTGAGTGAGCAGGTCAGTGTCTACATGCGTTTCGGGTCCTGAGTGAGGAGGTCAGTGTCTACATGCGTTTCGTATTTTGTACGGTGAGCTTGCTCGCCTGGAAAGAGTCAACGCCCATGGACCAGCACATGACTGAGTTCGAAAAAAAGTTCTGTCCAAAAAAAGGTGAGCTAGCCGACGGTCCGTATAGAAACACAACGCAAAGCCGTCGAACTCTTTCGTAACTAAACCCCCACCAAAAGAGCATGGCACAAGGTTACTCCTTGCCTGCCTGGCCAGGCGTCGACGACGAGCACATCCCCATGCAGCCACCGACGCACCGCGCAGGTTGCCGTTACGGGTCGCCCGAGCTCCAATTCGGCGCTCCCAGCAGCACACTTGCCACACGCAAACCAAACCCGGCCAAGCCTCTGGCGCCCGGTGCTTCGTATGAGCCGGGTGGTCCGCAACGAGTCGGGGACACGGCATGACACAGGCACCACATAGCGGTGGTGGTTGAAAGTGAGCGTGGCGGCGTTGTTGTGTTGTGGTTGTTGTGCTTGTTGGTGTTGTTGTTGTGGTTGTGCTTGTGGTGGTTGTTCTTGTTGGTGTTGTCGTTGTTGTGGTTGTGGTTGTTGTGTGTGTTGTGGGTGGTGAGGTTCTCGAGGTTGTGGTTGTTCTTGTTGTCGTTGTTGTTGCTGATGTTGGGATGGTTGTTGTAATGTGGTTGTTGTGGTTGGTGGTGTTGTTGTTGTGGTTGTTGTTGTTGTTGTTGTTCTTGTTCTTGTCGTCGTTGTTGTTGATGATGTTGTTGTTGTGGTTGTTGTTGTTGTTGTTGTTGATGTTGTTGTTGGTGAGGTTCTGGAGGTTGTGGTTGTTCTTGTTGTCGTTGTTGCGATTGTTGTTGTAGTATGGTTGTTGTGGTTGGTGTTGTTGTTGTTGCTGCGATGGTTGTTGTAGTATGGTTGTTGTGGTTGGTGTTGTTGTTGTTGTTGTTGTTCTTGTAGTAGTTGTTGTAGTTGTAGTTGTAGTAGTAGTAGTAGTAGTTGTTGTTGTTGTTGTGGTTGTTCTTGTTGTCGTCGTTGTTGATGATGTCGCGATTGTTGTTGTAATGTGGTTGTTGTGGTGGGGGTTGTTGTTCTTCTTGTTGTTGTTGTTGTTCTGTTCTTGTCGTTCTTGTGGTTGTGGTGGTGGTGGTTGTGGATGTGGACGTGGGTGTTGTGGGGGTGGTGGTGGGGATGGTGGTTGTTGTTGTTCGTGTTGTTGCCCCAGCACCCGCCCACGATGCAGACGAAGCGCCCCGGTGAGGCACGCATTTCCAGCACTTTTTGGGCCTATGTTGGGCCTATGTTGAGCCATGTTGACCCATCTTGAGCCCCAAGAGCGAAAAAGTGGAAGAAGCAGAAAACACGGTAAAACACACGATTCCTGTGGGGTCGAGCTGGGGTCGGCGGCGAGGGGCGGACGCCGCTCTCTCCTACGGAGAGGAGAGATGCCTACGGCAAAGACACGGCCATGGCGGGGCCCCGTGGGCCCCTGGCCGGATTACCACCTGCTTTGGTGGTGAAGGGTTGGGTCTAAATTCTTGGGCAATGATCGGGGTTCATGCAAGCGCTGACGTCGGTAAATCTGGGAGGTACCCAAAAAGTCGACTTTTTGGGTACCTGCTTTGGTGGTGCTGGGTTGGGTCTGCACTCTTAAGGCTAAGGCTAAGGCTTAAGGCTAAGGCTAACATAGAGCAAGGCTAGCGCTAAGGTTCTATCCCTTGGGGGTCGGCGGCTGCAGGCGGTAGCCTTAAGCCTTAGCCTTAGCCTTAAGAGTGCAGACCCAACCCAGCACCACCAAAGCAGGACCAGATTTACCATCGGACGTCAGCTCTTGCATGAACCCCGATCATTGCCCAAGAACTTAGACCCAACCCTTCACCACCAAAGCAGGTACCCAAAAAGTCGACTTTTTGGGTACCTCCCAGGTTTACCATCGGACGTCATCGCTTCGCCGAGGACCGCTTTGCATGAACCCCGTAATGCTGAACCCTCGTCCCCATAAAGGATATCATGGCCCAAGAATTTAGACCCAACCCAGCGCCACCAAAGCAGGTACCCAAAAAGACAAAGCCTAGAGCATTCCTAGGAAAATGCCAGAAAAGCCTTTGAACATCTCATAAACCAACAGAAAACGTGACAAAAAGCAGGTACCCAAAAAGTCGACTTTTTGGGTACCTCCCAGATGTACCATCGGACGTCATCGCTTCGCCGAGGACCGCTCGCAGGCCAAAATGCAAAAACAGAAAACGTAACAAAATCTACGAAAAAGCAAGGGCATTGGCCGGGACCATGCCGCGACCAGCCCGGGATTCGAGCCCAGGACCATTTTGGACCGTGCTTATTTTCCCGCGCGGGCCGAGAGGGTGCCCCAAGATGTAAATCAATTGGGATGGCAGATTCTTGGACAATCCAGGTCGCTTTCAGGGCGGGATTTTCGTCACTGCAACAAGGGTCGGGAGGGGTAGGGGAGGTAAGGTCTAGGTCTAAGGCTAAGGACTAGGTCTAAGGCTAAGGATAAGGCTAAGGCTTAAGTCTAAGGCTAAGGCTAAGGCTTAAGGCTAAGGCTAACATCGACAGTCACGCCTCACCCCACGGTGTGGGGTCGGCGGATATATATATATATACAAGTAGTTCCCGGGCAAGCCGGCGGCGGAAGTTTCCAAAAGAATAAACCTATAGGAAATGGGCATGTGGCAGGCTGATTCGCCGAGCTGCGATGTTCTTTGACAAAACAAGTTGGAGCCGACCAATGGAGCGAAAGCGAAGCAACCACCGTCAACTGTCTCGCAGGAAAAAACGTTGTTCATGCATTTTGCAAAATACAGAATAGAGATGAATCAGCCGCGTACTAAAGTTGTACTACAAAGTCGCCAGTTCTCATCTTCCAGCTCCCCAGATACTCCGCGTACTAAAGTTGTACTACAAAGTCGCCAGTTCTCATCTTCCAGCTCCCCAGATACTCCGCGTACCAAAGTTGATCCGACCATGATCCGAGCATGATCCGACCATGACCCGAGACCGTCTCGCAACCGTCGTTCTGCGGAGCTTCCCCGTCGAGGTTCGGAGCAGCCTGGAAGTTCACAAAGTGCTGTGCCTGCCACGAACTCTGCGCATGGAGGTTCACAAAGTACTGCGCCTGCCACGACATCTCCGCGTCAAGAAACAAGTGAACACTCTAATCGCAATGGAGGGACGATTCCGACAATGATCCGACCATGATCCGAGCATGATCCGACCATGACCCGAGACCGTCTCGCAACCGTCGTTCCGCGGAGCTTCCCCGTCGAGGTTCGGAGCAGCGTGGAGGTTCACAAAGTGCTGCGGCTGCCACGAAATCTGCGCATGGAGTTTCACCAAGTGCTGTGCCTGCCACGAATTCTGCGCATGGAGGTTCACAAAGTGCTGCACCTGCCACGTAGTCTGCGCATGGAGGTTCACAAAGTGCTGTGCCTGCCACGACATCTGCGCGTCGAGAAACAAGTGAACACTCTAATCGCAATGGAGGGACGATTCCGAGAATGATCCGACCATGATCCGAGCATGATCCGACCATGACCCGAGACCGTCTCGCAACCGTCGTTCCGCGGAGCTTCCCCGTCGAGGTTCGGAGCGCGTGGAGGTTCACAAAGTGCTGTGCCTGCCACGAACTCTGCGCATGGAGGTGCACAAAGTACTGCGCCTGCCACGCAATCTGCGCATTGAGGTTCACAAAGTGCTGCGCCTGCCAAGAAATCTGCGCATGGAGGTTCACAAAGTGCTGCGCCTGCCACGAAATCTGCGCATGGAGGTTCACAAAGTGCTGCCACGGAATCTGCGCATGGAGGTTCACACAGTGCTGCGCCCGCCACGTAAACTGGAGCTAGAGCTATTGAAACTAGAGCTAACTGGAGCTAGAGGTCTTGAAACTAGAGCTACCTGGAGCTAGAGCTATTGAAACTAGAGCTACCTGGAGCTAGAGCGCTTGCAACTAGAGCTAACTGGAGCTAGGGCTCTTGGAACTAGAGCCAGCTGGATGATGGGTGGTGTATTATGAGTGGTGTATGGTGAGTGGTGCATGATGAGTGGTGTATGATGAGTGGCGTATGATGAGTGGTGTATGATGAGTGGTGTATGATGAGTGGTGTATGATGAGTGGCGTATGATGAGTGGTGTATGACGAGTGGTGTATGATAAGTTAAGTGGTGCTTGGTGAGTGGTGTTTGATGCGTGGTGTATGATGAGTGGTGTATGATGGGTGGTGTATGATGAGTGGTGTATGGTGAGTGGTGTGTGATGAGTGGCGTATGATGAGTGGTGTATGATGAGTGGTGTATGATGAGTGGTGTATTGATGAGTGGTGTATTGATGAGTGGTGTATGAACAGTTCTTGAATGTCCGTAACACGGAAGTTTTGTACACTAAACTTCCTTTGATACTATATATGTCTACATCGGACATCTATGTACGAAACCCAGGGGTAAATCAGAAACAACAAATTACAGATTCTGTTTCCAGGCAGCAGTAGTCAGTCTGCAGACCCCTCTATTCTCCACAATACCACAATAGTGTTGATATTGGCAGATACATGACTCAATGTTGGCGCCTGGCACAAAGAATATGGCTGCTACTCAACCACTGCGAGCATTGTGTCGGTTGACAGTGGAGAGCATGGTGCTCAACATCACATGATCACAGAATCCACAGAGCAAAAAATAGCAGAGTTGTGCTCTTTTCAGGCTCATCCGCGCACTCTTTACGACAAGATTTGGGCGGACCACTTGGTGCATGAGGCAGACAACTTGTGGTTGACGTTTCACAGGTGGTTATGAAGAGATACTGTAAGACTTTCATGTGGAGAGCGGGTGATGATCGAGGCTGATGGCGTCAGCCTCATCTACATTGATCGTCATTTGGTTCACGAGGTCCTTCGCTCTGAGTGGTTTCACACACCCTTGCAGACACAGACACACACGCACACACACACACAAATGCGGCGTTTTCGTGTTTCCAGCCAGCCCATGAGGTCACCAGCCCCCAGGCTTTTGAAGGCCTACGCATGAGCAGCAGGGAGGCCGCGTGGAGGGCCCTACGAACTTTAATCGATCCTAACGCGCAGTAGTTCCTACAAGGTGACACAGTGCTTATCCTTCGCTAAGACATTCCAGGTCCGGCGCACGGACTGTACCTTGGCCACAGTGGACCACAACATCCCAACCTCAAGTAGGAAGAACTTCAAGGACAGACCAAGACTTTTTCAATGTTTTTGGACCGAGCCATTCCCGCAGGATACAAAAAGCTTTATTGCTGAAGCTGACTCTCGCACCCAGGCCAGGCACGCATCATGGAAGCTTGTTGCCAAACAAGGACTTTTAGTGGGTTGGTGACTGTTTTGCGGTCAGCAGTCTACTCTCTGGCTGACAACATCAGTCTGTGCACGCGTGGAGTGTAGATTAACATTCTGTGTGACAGGCGGAGTTTCGCTAGGAGTCCCTGTCACATTCAGATATCGTTGATTTTGGGAATTGTTCACTTCCAGCATTGTGGTTGTGCAAACGAGTGATGTTGCTTAATTAGCGAGGCAGTTTCTCATCTGCCTGGACACAAAAGAGAGTTCAACCTTTGAAGTACTTACCCTGCTTCTTTGGGCAATAGCTTCTTTCAGGTCCTTTTGCAGGTTCGTTGCGTTTGCTGTGTGGCTGGCTATTCCAGGTATTTTGTAAAGTCTTTGTGGCAGTGGCTTCCCAATCATAGTTGGTCAATTTGAAGGCTAGTGTGGCTCAAGCCAGTTGTTTGAAAGAAAAAGGGTGCAGGCCCCTACTACACCCTGCACGGAGTTACTTGTGGTCAGATCGTGAGGGTTTTGTCAGACAGGGCAGAGGAAACTCAAAGTTATCCATTCGCAATGTGGGAAACAAACATTTTTGTTGCCAGGAGCATATCACATACCTATTTGTTGGAATGACAGACAAAGGTAAAGGCGTAAAAAGTGCCTCCAGAATGCGATTATGACAGTGTAGTGAAGACATTCCTGGCAAACTCAACCTGAGTTATAGTTATGCTTAGTCATAGTCATTTGTTTAATTTGGCAAGAGGTACAATGCTATGACTCTATGATGTTTGTACTTTTTTCCCTGCAGGCAAAGTCATCGGTCCAAGATACACACTCGGGAAATTAGACGTACGAACTGAATGCCTCATGCCACACGCAAGCCTGAGTGAAAAAATGCCTAAGTACAATGGTGTCTGACCATCCTGAAGCGTCAAGTCTCTGAGGTGCCAAGTTCCAGAGGCCCAAATCCAATGAAGGTCAAGTCGAACGAGAAACGACAAAAAATGCATGACTGCAGAGTGCAAACCGATGCAAACGCCAAAAGCTTGTTGTAGTTACAATGGGACCGATTGGGTAGTAAGAGTCACAACGCAGGTACGTCGCTGGACGTCTCCAGTGATATCTTAAGGACACTGCAGAAAGAGCTTTGTCAAGTGGAGCTCTGCAGGCCTGCTCCACTCCCGTGCTGTAAACTCAACAGACTAGAAACCTTACCAAAAGGTAACCTTTGAACCCCAGGTGTGCACACTTGAGATTTTGCGTACTGATTTGAAAGCGGTTGCCGCATGCCAGAATAAGTGAAAAACCTAAGAAGCCAGGGTGAGTATAAAGCCTGCGAAGGCCTCCAAAGCTCTTGAAAGATCCGAGGTAAATCGTCGATGCGCCAGCCCTGTACTGCAGCAGGACGGGGTGCAGAAACAACGTATTGGACAGCTTTTGCCATACTTCGGTTCTCAAAGGCAGGTACACCAGGTTGATCAGACCTGGCTTCCCAGATGCAAGGTAGCTTTGTTGGGCACAGTCCCTTGCATTTGCTGCGCCCCCTGCTGCAAAAACACAATCCAACAGGATCCCTGTGACTCCAAGGGTGTGCGCGCAGCACGGACAAAAGGATGAAGACATGAAAAGAGGACAAGACAGGACAAAAGTGTACGCGGTCGCGACGAAAAGGAACCAAGTGCACAGGGACAAACAATGAACCCCACCTCATTATCAAACCTGGGCAAGCTGAAACCTGGGTTAAAAGTACTAAGGCCGGGACCGATGTGTGCGCACAAGAAAGAAGGAATGAAGCGCCAAGACATGAAGACAGGAGGACATGAAAGAAAAGAGGAGAACAAATGTGTGTGAAGGGGAAGGATGAAAAGGGAACCAAATGGAGGGGACGAGAACCGATGAAGCCAAACCTCATTGAACACCTGTTGCATCGCCTCTTCTGTATGCGAACGCATCGTGCGCGAGGGAGGGAGGGGTAGGGAGAGAAGAGAAGAAAGAAAAAGAAGAAAGGAAAGGAAAAGAAGGTGTTCCCAGCTACGACACAAGCGCCCAAGGACACACCAAGAGAAGAAGAGAAGGGTTCCCAGCTATGACGAAAGCGTCCAGGGATACCCAAGCAAGAAGGAAGGGGAAGAAAGGAAAGAGAAAAAGAGAGAAAGAGAGAGAGAGAGAGAGTGAGAGAAAGAGGGAAAAGAGAAAGAGGAGGAAAGAAAAGGAAGTGGACAGGTGTTCCCAGCTACGAGCAAGCGTCCAGGGACACACCAGGGAGAGGGGTGTACCTGAGTGTTACATTCAGGAAAGGCCGAGAAGGAAGAGGGGAAGGGTACTGTAAGGGGAGAAAGGGGGTTAAGGTCCCGACAGAGCCTTGAACAAACTTCGGCCGCTGCGGCCACGTACGCCGTGCCAAAATGGCTGGCTGCCCTGACCGCTGTGGTCACCTAATGGCTTGTCCAAAGACTGCCTACTTGGAATTACAATAATCCGTCCGGTTTTGGCAAGTAACTTTGGCATAAGCCTCCTGCTGTCTGTTCTGGACACGTACATCGACAGGCAGGGGAGATAAAGACAAACCCCGCTCAACGGGTCCACAGGGGGCACTCCTCGGGCTCACCCTGGGCTGACACGAAGGTCACACACACACACACACTTGAGATTTTGCGTAGTGACTTGAAAGCGGTTGCCGCACGCCAGCCTAAGTGAAAAACCTAAGAAGCCAGGGTGAGTATCTAGCCGTGTACTGCAGCAGGACGGAGTGCAGAACGTATTGGACAGTTTTTGCCATACTTAGGTCCTCAAAAACAGGTACGCCAGGTTGATCAGACCTGGCTTCCCAGATGCAAGGTAGCTTTGTTGGGCGCAGTCCCTTGCATTTGCGCCCCCCTGCTGTAAAAAACACAATCCAACAGGATTGCTGTGACTCCAAGGGGTACCCACACACACACAGCTTTAGCCTGCATGAAAAGTCCGTGGGTTTGTTTCAATCACAGCCCTGACCCTACCTTCCACAGCAAAAAACTTGCCGCATTGGAACGGAGTGACACCACAAACTTCGACATACCAATAAGATGTCTTTCAAAAATGGTCAAAAGCCAAAGGGCGGTTCAGCTGTTGCTGGACGAGCAGCAATGCATTGAGCTGCGCCGCAGGTTGTCACGCTGGAACAGAATGTGCAAGAGTTTGGCCACATGCTGAGTCGCCGTTAGTAGGCGCAAAATAGATTTACAAAGTGCCTACAGTGTTGCAGAGCAGGGTAGTCCCTCTGCATACGTTGTGGTCAACGTGACTTGCATAATAGCTCATTGTAAGAAGGATGGTTGAACGCACAAACATGCAGAATCGGTCTTGCGGTGTTGATGGTTCGATGAAACCCAAGGTGGTAAGGCATGGGGATCGGGTTAGAAAACATGAGAACAGTTTGTCTCTTGCAACGTACTCTGTTGACAACACAATGCTTGAGGTCTTACCTATTTTGGGATGGAGGACAAGCGCCAGGGGATTGTCCATGTGATTGGTCCAGAACAGGCCTTCAACCAAACAGTGCAGATGTGTGTGTGGTGCCGCTATGCTTGAAGTTAAATTTCCCCAAAAGTCTAGGAACCAAATCATTAGTGCGAGCGTGAGCTATCCTTCGTCCAGTAGGTAGTAGCTTCCTATTGCTCGTAGCTTGCCTCCTTACTTAATTAAGTAGGCGCCTACTTGCTGTAATCATGTAGGAGCGGGCCAAAGGGAATGGCTTGAAGAGCATGAGAAAATCTTTGACATTGCAATCGCCATGCAGTGCAATTCTGAAAGTTGTGACATTGACGCGTCTTGAAAGGGGTTTACGCTTCCTGGTACCACAGTCGTTTGTCGGACCCTTGGAACTGAGACCCTTTGCAAGGAACGATGGTTCCTTCTGAGGTGGCGACAGCCATACTTCAACACATGGCGCCTTTGGAGCTTTGGCTTTTGGTCAGCAACTTTGATTCGAAAGATACAAAAAGACAGCATCAAATGGCCACAGATTTGTGGGATGTGCTTGTGCAGAACATGTGTGTTTGAGGAATTGGAACATCAGAGGTGGAGCACGTGCTTGCAACCCAAACGCTGCCGTTTACTTGGGCCTTCAGAGAATCTCCAAAGCACAAAGAAAGGCTGAGGAAAGCAATTTGGATGAACAGTTGCCTATGAAGAGACGAGCAAACATCAACCGTCTGTTTGACGAGGCTTATGAAGAAAGCCAAAAATATGCTCGGCACCCAGGGGTAAAAGGCCACTACTGGTAAGGCTGGCGCAACATCAGCACTCAGGCGAATCAAAGTATCCGGGAAGCTGGCTGAGGGAGTCACTTCCAAGGAGGGCAGATCAGGCTCTTAGTGAGCTTTCTATGCAGTGAGTTGCCAGGATGTGATCCTTCACATTATCGGCATCATTGGCACCGCTGGTGGAACGGGATGTGTGGTCGAATTTTGCAGCCTGGCTTGTGAGAATGAAGCAGAGTGGTTCTGAATGAGTCTGGCCTTGCTACATTGCTTTGCAATTTTTGCTCGAAGGACAACATGTTCAGGAAGAGATCTGATTGACTGAGCAATCGATGTTTCTGAGGTGGAGATGTGTTTGAGAACATGTCAATGGAGGCAGGTTTGTGCCGTGATAGGTGTGTAGGACCTTTCAGCAAAGGCAACATTCCTGGAAGTTCCATTCATCATTCACGCGAATGTCAATGATTCTGAAGGCGAGGATGTCTGTTTGCAACATGACTATTGAGGCAGGTGCCAGGTCCCGTACTTAAGCATGCAGCATGGTTATGTTGAATAGAAACACTGCTGTAGTTGAACATGAAAGGTTACACAAGGTAGCCCTAGCCCTACAGCTAAGGGCAGGCATGGTTGCACCAGATGAGACAACCTTCAACTACCTCAAAGGAAGGCACGGAATTGAGCACGGAATGTCTCCGCCTCACTTGGCTTTCCTCGAACACAGGCCCCTTTGCCCAAAAGGTAAGGACTGGGACAAGGCAGGGTAGCAGCATGTCACTTCCCATAGGAGTTGAAACAAGTCACGCCCGACGCCCTACATTGAATTATTGCTTGTGTGTTGCAGACAACGAGAAGAGCACGCCTGAGCACACGTCCTCGACGAAACTGTTCACTCTCTTTTTGGCCATTCCATGTCGTTCCATGCTACCGAAGAAGATTCAGACGACTTATATACCTTGAAAGGCGGTGGAATATTGGAAGAGCCTTCGTACAGACAAGGGAGCAAAGTGCCCCCGGCTTTCCTTTCACACCAAGCATATTGATGCATGGCTTGGGTTGAAAGCTGGTGTTCGCCAAAAATAGCTGTCGACTTGACAGCTTCAGAATTGCACTTTGCAGTATGCCTTTGCCGTATGATGATAGGCAGTCGTGAGACAGAATTTGGAACGCTCATGCTTCGACAGTTTATGGCTAGATCACTTGCAACTCCAGAAGGAGCTGGACTATGCTTGACTGTTAAGTTATTTCCGTAACAACAATGTCCAGCAGCAGTTTTGAGCTGCCATTTTCGTGGCAGCAAGGTTTGACAAAGACATTCACATTGATGCGGCCGACATTGCACCAACTGCACCTCGCCAACACAAGCAATGAACAGCTTCTTGACGGGTAGGTATCTCGACGTGTAGCTTGTGCTGATGGGTCTCTTTTACATTGTTTTCTTGCCAGCCGCTGTCCAGGTCACTTGGGGTACAAGCCCTGAAGATGTTGTCCCCATCACTGGAATTGTGCCGGACCCGAGTCAGGTTGGCTGATGCTTGTGCATCCCAAGTCATTCAAGAAGTTGCTCCGATGTGCTTTGATGCTGCAAATCAATCTTGCATTTCCTAACTGGATCGCAGTCGGCGTAGGCAACCGATGAGACCAAGAGGATTCGATTCAGTCACCATTTGTTTCCTGTAGAAACAAACGTTATGACATTCCAGTAGCATCCTTGTTCCTAGTAGTAAGGCCAGGAGCCCCTAGTAGCGTCCTTGCTCCTAGTAGAGATGCCAGGAGCCCCTAGTAGCTTCTTGTTACTACTAGTAAGGCACTTGTTACTAGAAGCGATGCACTTGTTACTAGTAGAATCAGCGGACAGGACTGGAATGCTCCGGGCTCTTCAATACATGGGCCATGTCCTTGAGTTTAGCTGTCGCTTCTGGTCGAAGCTGCAGTCGACAAGTGGGGTGACTTTGGGAGTGCTTTTGTGACCCACTCAGGCTTAGAACCTGGCACAAAGATGCAGGATATCACGATCCAAAAGGCAAGGAACATGTTATCATCGAGAGTCATCAAACCGCATCGATGGCAATTGGGAAGTGAAGGACATTTGCAGGTGTTTATTGGATCGTGCACCAACAGCCGAATCGAGGACATGCGAACGCGCCTCAGAATGGTCCGGGTCCGTGCATCATTACTTATCAAACATGCGATGCTGGAGGTAGGTTGGATAAAGACATTGACATACTGTCATACTGTATACCTCCAAATACAGATGGATGCGGAGTTCTCATCTTTACTGTAGGCAGCGTTGCTTCGGTCGTCAAGGGCAAGAAGGCACCTCAAAGTTCCAGCTTTAAGCAAACTGCTAGCAGTTGCTTTAGCGGCTGCTTTAGCAGTTGCTTTAGCAGTTGCTTCTGGATCCATGGTCGGGTGATGTCCAGTCACCATATTCGTTAAGACTAAAGGGTTCTTGAAAGAACTTCATTGAGCGGCTGTTAAAATGCTTGCATTTTGCCGGCCTCAATGCTCATTCACATCAGTATGGCGACTTCAATGCTCTTTGAATGTGACTCACCAATTCCATAGCCAACAAGCAGAAGCAGCCATTGCACCAGCGCGCAAGTCAAGACCATACACTCCAAAACCATCAGAGAATGACAGCGATGTACATGATGTAGTGCAGTTTTCTTCGCGGCTCCTGCGATGGTACCGGGCTCAGCTGGGACCGAATTTTCTGGTTGCGGCCCCTGTTTCTTGCAGATTAAACTCCTACTTGTAAGTGAAATGCAGAGGCTTTTGCCGAGCCCTTACTTGGTAAGCAAGACACAAGGCAAATGCTGCAGAAAAGACGCTTCGCACATTGTTTCTCTAAAGTATTGTTTGCGGTTGCAACGCCCACATGCACCACCGTTTGGGTTCTGAGAAACAGGAGCAAGCAGGAAGCGTGCAACAAATCACAGTGCTTTTTGCACAATGATGTGCATCGTAGAATTGCACGAACGGTGAAGCAAAGCAAGCAGCGAACATTGCTTCGCACTCTTGCCAAGCCATTCCGACTGACAATGCCTTTCACTGGTTCTTTGTTCTACTGTAAGTTGTTCTGACAAGAGAGATAGAGCGCGCACACACAGGCACACTGCTGCTGGAAGGGAGATGCTAAAGTGCAAGTTATGCGGAACCTAGATCTAGAAACGTGGATGCGAGCTTTCGCCTAGGCTTTGAACCTGGAGAGCTTTCGCTTGAAGGCAGGGTCAGTGGCCCGATGTACTGTCTCAGCGAAAGGTGACTTCCTTCATTACTTTGATTGGAATTTCACCAAGATCTGAAGAGTGGCAAAGTCTAGTTCCCACACTTCACGGGAACCTCCTGTTTGGAGTGTTTGTACAGTTTGATTCCAAAACAAGAATCAAGACTGAGATGAGCGACGACAATTAAGAAGAAAACACAGCCGCACACACACACATGCACACCTATGGATATGCGTACTGACTTGACAGCGGTGCCACACGCCGGCCTAGGGTACCAATTCCTAAGAAGATAAGGAAAAGCTTAAAAGTTGAAAGGCAGTGGAAAATTGCAGGTACGTGAGAGTGATCAGCTCTCATATCCCGTGCGTCAGGTAGCTTCGTTGGACATGGTCCCTGAACGCACGCCATGTCCCCCTGCTGAAGTAAAGAGAAACAATTCAACGGAACCCCTGTGACTACAAGGGGCACACACACACGCCTCCCCAAAGGGAGGCATCTTTTGCTGAGCGTCGAGCCGGAAGGTTGGGTGAAACTAGTTAAATTGTCGAAGTTCTCGGTAGGTCTGATACGCCGTGCGTATTGAAGGTGCGGACAAAGTAGTAGTAAGGCCAGGAACCTCTAGTAGCGTCAAAGTAGCATCCTAGCACCTAGTAGGAAGGCCAGGAGCCCCAAGTGGCATCCCAAGTTAAGGTCCTGACAGGAGGAAGGGGTAGGGAGACCGAGAAAAAGGAAAGAGAAGAAAGGAAGGTGTTCCCAGCTACGACGCATGCGTCCAAGGACACACCGAAGGAAGAGAGGAGAAGGGTTCCCAGCTATGACAAAAGCATCCAGGGACACCCAAGGAGGAAGGAAGGTGAAGAGAGGAAAGAAAGAAAGAAAGAAAGAAAGAAAGAAAGGAAGGAAGGAAGGAAGGAAGGAAGGAAGGAAGGAAGGAAGGAAGGAAGGAAAGAAGGAAGGAAGGAAGGAAGGAAGAAAGAAAGAAAGAGAGAGGGAGAGAAAGGGAGAGGAGAGAAAAGAAAAAGGCAGGTGTTCCCAGCTACGAACAATCGTCCAGGGACACACCAAAGATGGAAAGGGGTGATCCTGAGTATTCCATTCAGAAAAACACCAAAAAGCAAAGAAAGAAAGGGGAGGGAAGGGGAAGGGGGGGGGACTAAGCTCGCGACAGGTTCCAACGAACCTCAAAAGTACTTCGGTCGCTCTGACCACGTTGAGGCGTTAAGCCAGCTTAGACCGCTGCGGTCACGTAAAGGCATAAGCCAACTTGGAATTCCAAAGATGAGACAAAAATCTAAATTCTTTCAGCATAAGCCATCTGCTGTCCGCTCCGGACACGTACATCTCCGGGCAGGGGAGATAACGACAGACACCCGTTCGACGGGTCCACGGGAGGCACTCTACGGGCTCATCCCGGACTTTCACTGGGAGAGACACACTTATGGATATGCGTACTGACTTGACAGCGGTGCCACACGCCGGCCTAGGGTACCAATTCCTAAGAAGATAAGGAAAAGCTTAAAAGTTGAAAGGCAGTGGAAAATTGCAGGTACGTGAGAGTGATCAGCTCTCATATCCCGTGCGTCAGGTAGCTTCGTTGGACATGGTCCCTGAACGCACGCCGTGTAAAGAGAAACAATTCAACGGAATCCCTGTGACTACACGGGGCACACACACACTCTGGATATTGCGTTTGCGGGTTGCCATCCGCCAGCCTATATTATTATATAAGTAAAAAACAAAAAACCAGGACAGTGGCGGCCTACGCAAAACCTAAGAAACCAGGACAGTGGTAAGTAAGGTGGTCTGAACATCCTCAGTCTCAAAGTCAGGGTGTCTGAATGCCCTTAAAACCTCCAAGTGTGACGAGTGGCAGCTGCAAGTTGGTCAAGTCGGCACTTTAATGCAGAACCGAAGCCAAAAGAGGAGTCTTGTTCTTCTAGTCATGCACGGGACCAAGGAGGAAATAACTGGTGATCATCCTCTCGCGGGTACGTGCAATCTGCGTCCAGATTGAATATCACAGCAAACTTGAAGTGTCTTCGTTGAGCGGCGACTTCAAGAATGCCCACCGCTCTCCTGCTAAAAAAGATTGAAAAGACGTTTAAACTAAGGTGTAAGTGTGCCCTCTCAAAAGACGAAAAGATGAAGACGTGAGAGGAAGACAAGACGGGACAGTGTATGTGGTTGGGATGAAAAAGAAGCAAGTGAACAGGGACAACCAGATGAGCCAGACCTTATTATAACAACCATGGGTTTCATGTGCGCGTGCACGTGTACGCTAGGGGCCGGACCGATGTGCCCAAAGGAGAGAGAGGGATGAGTTGACAAGACATGAAGACAGAAAAGACATGAAAAGACAGAGGAAAAGAAAGTGTTTCAGGGAAAGAAGTGAAAAGGGGAACCAAATGGAGGGGCCGCAAAACGAAGCCAAACCTCAGTAATGGCCTAGTTTATGTCAGTATATGTCAGTGCTGTGTGTGCACGGCCGCTGCCATCTACTCTGGCAGCGACCGATGCAGTAAGTAGGAGCGAAAGTAGTTCCAAAGGGTGACCGAGACAAATCAATCGCTCTAGGTAAGTTAGATAAAAAACATAAAGCCTCCTGTTCTAGGTAGGGTAGAAAAACATAGGGCGTGCTGTTGCAGGGAGCGACGCTGACGAGTCGCTCCTGGTTGTAGGGAGAAGGAAAGAGAACCGACAGACTAGTCTGCCGACGAACTCTGCCTCCAGTTTGCGAGCGAGACATAAGAGTCGCTGTGTAGAATAGACGCAGGCACACATCCGTAGCCAGTGGATGATGATGCTTCCCTTTCTGATGCACAGCTTCATTGGACAGAGTAGCGTCAGAGAGCTCTTGTCCTCCTGCGTTAAAAGATCAACAGGTCCGCTTCACACGCAGCACACGCATGCGCCCACGC